ATGTTTCCGTGAGGTAGATGCGTTAGATGATGAAGAGCAGGAGGGAGGAGGAGTGAAGTGCCTGACAGCCAGTCTGGACCTGGACTCCTCATCAGCTGGTTTATAATCACTGTCACCTGTATGTACAATTAAAATACATTCAAATATAGGAAATGATGAAATATATAGAATGCAATCTGCACTCCACTGACCCTGATCATCAAGAGCGCCTGCATCAACAACGTCATCTTCTTCCTCTTCAGGCTGCTCCTCCTTCTTGACCTCAACCACTGCAGCCTTGCTTTCAGATTTTTTTGGCCTGAACCGTCAGCATGCGAGACAGCACCTCCAGAACGAGAACCTAAAAAAAAAAGCCTGTAGGCATCAATGCTGATGGAAATTTAAAGTTAGCATAAACCAGTTGTGCCTTTTATTTAGAATTCGTAACTATTTAGTGCTGATTTGGTGTATTTGTAAGTGAGATGGCTTCTGAAAAATAAACATAAGGCGGAATTTGTTTTAATCTATTGGGAACTGATTGGACGTCACTACAACAGACGAATTTGGATCTGAAAAGCCTCTACAAAGTGCCCAAAAGTATTTTCGCAAGCCCTAGATATAGACTCAAGAAGAACTGTGTGCTTTAAAACGGGGAAAACAATGGAGCTGATATTAATCAAACAAATTTGTCAAACATTTTATGAATGTGTATTTCAGTTTAATAAGCAGCAATACCAATGAACACCACTGTACCACTGAACAAATACAGTGTTCTTTCAACAACAGCGTGTGTGGAACTTCTAGCTTTATATATTTTCATTTAACACACTGAAGAATTCAATCAAGAATACAAATTAGAACTTGTGAATCAGAATTAAATCAAATTGTGACACAAAACTGAGAGCCAAAGTAGCCACACCCAACCAAAGCATCATTCTTGTGCAGCATTACACCCCAACTTTGTAACATTGAAGAAGATTTGACCTCAAGGTGGCACGGTAGCTCAGTGGTTAGCACTGTCGCCTCACAGCAAGAGGTTGGCTGGTTCGAGTTCCGGCTGGGCCAGTTTGCATTTCTGTGTGGAGTTTGTATGTTCCCCTTATTGTAGGCATAGGTTTCCTCCCAAAGACATGATAAAGGTTGAGGGCAAACTTTATAGTGGCTTGAAAAAGCCTGTTAAAAGTAGATTATTTAGTTTGAAAAAGTATCAAGTTGACGAAAAGAATGTTGAAGATCCTTGCAGTCAACAATTTAACCATTTAAAGACTGAAACAAAACAGTCCAGCACGAGTTGTTAGCAAGATTCTAGCATGAATTATTATGTTACTAGTATGTTTCTAGCATGAATTAGCATGTTGTTAGCATGAACTAGCATGTTGTTAGCATGATTCTAGCATAAATTAGCATGTTGTTTCTGTCTTTCAATAAGTCTCAAACAAGGATCAGTGTTTTCTCATCATCCTTTTTATCGTTGCTTTATTAATTTGATTATTTGAATGAGTTTTTACCTGTGAAATGATTTTGACTACTGAATAAAGTGAACACATTGCTTAATGTAAGAATGTTCAGGTCATCAGGTCACCAACTTTTTATAATTCTATTTTCAGGAGCCACCAAACCAGGGCATAGATCATGGAGACCTCAAGTGGAACTGAAGGACTTGATGATAGTAAACAACTGTTTTCCTGTTTGTGTTGATATTATAATTGTGTTAATACTGTCTAAAGTGATTTTGATATTATTATTATGTGTTAATACTGTCTAAAGTGATTTTGATATTATTATTTTATTATGTGTTAATAATGTTTAAAGTGATTTCCTTTTTATTCAAGACAGACTTTGTGTAGTGAGAAGCAGTGGTGTAAAGTAACACTACAAATACTTAAACTGCTGTAATTGAGGAGCTTTTCTCAGAAATTGTAATTTACTTAGTAGTTTTAAAAATGTGTGTTGCCTTGAGTACATTTTCAGTGCTGTATCGGTGCTTTTACTCTACTACTTCAACTAGTCACTACTTTATTTTGTCTTATCTATGGGAATATGAAAAATCATTCTTGTGATTCCTGTCCAGTTAAATCGCACACAGAAAGTAAATCGCAACATAAAGATCTACCTCAAGACTTGGGCGATTTATAATTGCAGTAAACTGTTTGCAAGCATTAAAATTGTCCAAAATCTTTGATCAAATCAATGACCAAGAGACTGTTTAGATGCATGTCACTGATGAGAAGATCATGGGTGTTTACTGTATGATGACCGAAATGGCCTTAAACACCCAGCAGGCACAAGACCTCAACACGACATCAGACTGACGTTGTCTTCCAATGTCATGGAGACGCTGCATTTTGTTTGGAAATGAAAATCGGATGTCCAACCTAAAATCAACGTCTAAAGATGTTACAGCTTGAAGTTGTGTGGACGTTACCACAATGACAGCTATCAGATGTTGGATTTTGGTCAGTATTTGACATCAACGTGACGTTGGTTTAAGTCTTTAAGATATTGGCTTGATGCTGAAGTCACTTTCTAACACAACCTAAAATCAACCAAATATCAACGTCACTTGACGTCATTATTGTATATCAAAATGTCTTTAGACGCTGACTGGATATTGAATTATGGTTGCCAATGCATCAGCTTTTTACAGCGTAATACTTACTACTCTCGAGTACTTTAGAAAGGGCTGCTTTTTACTCATACTTTAAGTAATATTAACAACAGATAATTTTACTCTACTTGCACTACATTTATAGGCAAGTCATGGTACTTTTACTTAAGTATGATCTTTCTGTACTCTTTCCACCACTGATCATATGCAGCAGACAACAGCTTTGTAAAACCAGAATTGTACAATATTATAGCACAACTAATGCAAGAAAATCAGTGTTAGATTCAGATAAAGAGGCTTTGATTTATTTGGTTTGCATTTAAAGTTCCTGTTTGTAGCCATGTTTAAAGAAAGACATATCTGTAAAACTGAAGAAGCTAAAGATATAACTGCAAATGATCAAAACCTTCTTTATAAGCATTTTAGCTACAGCTAGCAACTGTTTCATAGCAATATGACGTCAATCCTCCAGCCTACCGTTATATACAGACTGTCATTAAAGCAGCATCCACAGAGACATGTCCAATATTCTTCTTAAATACAGTATTCTCTATACATATTTATTTTACCTTTACAAGGCAAAAAATTGTAGGAACACAAAGATAAATTTATTTCACTATTTACAAAGGCTATAAATGAAACTTACAAAAACTTATAAATGACTGATGATTCTGGAAGAAGTCTGTGTTACTTCTCAGGGCAGTTTGTGATGTTAATTTGGAGCTGAGATAAGTTTCTGATATTCCGTCTGTCTCTATGTGTGTGTGTGTTGATAATAAATAATGTGTGTGTCGTGTTTCTACTCAACAGTAAACACTAAACGTCATGCTGGATGCCCTGCTGCTGGTTGCAGTTGTTGGATGCCATGACAGTGTTAGCATGTAGCATGTTCACACAAAATCAGTACAGTTCGCAGTTAAAACTATTTTTTACCTTTTTTGTAACTCTATAAAACCTAATGTCAACAAAATCTTCAATCTACAAGAATATTAATCATTATTCCAACCTGGTAGCATTCACATCGGTCCAGTGGTTTCTTCGGCTAGAGTGGGTTATTTTGGTGAATGAATCTGTGGTTGAAATGAATTGTGAGAGTCGATTCATTGACCCGTTCATAAATGCAACCGTTGCTTTGTTACTGAATAAATGTCTTATTCACTTAAAACAGGGCTTTACTGCCACCTACTGGCGGGCTCAGTTAATGCATGGATAACTTAATTTTGACTATAGTGGTATATTTTTCTTTATACTTAATTCTTAACATTATTCATGTAAAAAAAAAAGAAGAATTCATAAAGGTAAAGAATTCACAGAAAATGTTTATTTAAATTGCAAATATTGTGCTTAAATGAAGAGACTGCAGTCTGAGCGGAAAAGAGAATGGAGAAGGATGTTAGGAGTATGCCACTCTAAACAGTTAGGAACCACTGATATACAGTCTAGATAATAGGTCATACCCATGATATCAAAAATGAGCTCAGATTCAATGCAAAAGTAGTGTAACATTACAATAGAGACGGAAATATTGCAATACTGTAAACAATTACTTTCAAATGACAGAAACTAACTAAATATTAAGTGCTACATTTTGGTAGAAATTTGCAAATGAAAGCAAAACCCAGGATGGCAATAAATAAATGGCTGTAAGTAACTGTCAGCTCTTATCTATGGTTTTCTAATGTTGTCACTAATGTTAATTGAGAAGAAGTTTTAGATAAAAATTTTTTTACAAGTCCAGTTACATACAAACATTACTAAATTAGTTCATTTAAATTAAAAACATAATGAGTCTCTAAATACCACACAGATATCCTTTAAAACTATTATAAAAATGAGAAATTACATCGTGAAAGACTTATTTTATCTTTGCCATAATCACAGTAAATAATATTTGACTGTACATTTTTCAAGACACTTCTAAACAGCTTAAAATGACATTTAATGGCTTAACTAGGTTAGTTAGGGTAACTAGGCAGGTTAGGGTAATTAGGCAAGTTATTGTATAATGATGGTTTGTTCTGTGGACCATTGGAAAAAATAGCTTAAATGGGCTAATAATATGACGTTAAAATGTTTTTATTTTTTTATTATTTTTTTATAAAAACTGCTTTTATTCTAGCCAAAACAAATAAGACTTAATAATAAGTAATATTTATACTATACTCAATAAATAATAAAACTGCAGAAGAAAAATATCAGACATACTGTGAAAATTTCATTGCTCTCTTAAATGTAATTTTGGAAATATTTAATAGAGAAAAAATTAAAAGGTTTGCCAGAGGTGGCTTGCAGCTGGAAGAGCATCTGCTGTGTAAAACATATGCTGGAAAAGTTGGCGGTTCATTCTGCTGTGTCGACTAAGATTAATAATGGGACTAAACTGAAAAGAAAAAGGGGGGATAATAATTCTGACAGTGTGTGTGTGTGTGTATAACGTGGATGTGTGGGCACTTTAAGGCAAATTAGCCAGTCAGTCTAGCGCGGCCCTGCATTAGTTGTTTGAGTTATTGTGTTTTAAAAAGTCCCCGCGTGTTTTGAAAATGTTCTTTCGCGTTCCAAATGGAACTACGTAACTCTGACATCATTAGTGGCTAATTAACTGACTGAATCAAGCAGAAACCCTCATTGCTTCTTTCGACGACTAGTAGTTCAGTATTTACTGCGATTCCACACAACGGTGATAAAATGGCCTTTTCAAAGTTAATTTCCCGTTTAAAGAAAGCGTTCGGTATCAAGTGTGCACACGAACCACCCCGTGAGCCACTCGCATCCACCGGCAACACGGCAGAAAACCACCGTCATCCGATAACCGATGACCCGCCCGTCGTTGCAAGAAACCAGGCAGAGAGACAGAAAAAGTCTTCCCTCTTTAAAGCCTGTTTCCCCAGAAGAGCGGCTGTTGATGGTAAATTAGGTTTATGAATTTTAATTACTAAAACATACTGTTAAACACACCAAACATGTCAGAGTAGCTGTTTAAAGATAAGAAATAAAATTTACTAGAAACATTTGAGAATGTAAGGTAGTTTCTTAAAAGGGACAGTTCACATAAACATGAATATTCTGTCATAATTTACTCCTAAAACCTGTTTCAGGTGCTTTCTTGTGTTGAACACAAATACTGAATTCAGCCATTGACTTCCAGTATTTTGAGTTCCTACAGTGAAGTTTAATGGCTGCTGATTTCAGGAATATTCTTCAGAATAGGTCTATTTTTCTGTTTAAAAGAGGAAATTCATTTTAATTCAATTTAAACATACTTTTTTTTATTGCTAATCATCACTTCAATGCACAAAAACTGCAAGATTATAAATAAATACATTGAGTGATGTTTTTGCAAATGAACTTTTCAAATATCAAGTCAAAAGAGTTACAGAATCATATTAATGATATTCCTTCCCCTCTTTAGATCCGCTCCCTGCACTGGAGATCCATGACCTTCAGGACGAGCCGATCAGTAGCTCGAAATTCTTTCACACTGCTGTGAACAATCTGGAGCTGGAGGTTCTCCAACCTTCTATTCCTGATGCTCCAGCAGAAGAAGACTTGGACTCCACTGTGAAATCTGAAGTGAACAGCTTTGAATCTCCAGTGAGCCAGCAGTTCTCAACAGACGGCATCTTTGAAGCGTTCAGCGGAGACTCTGTGCAGGTTGACATTGACTCTGCACTGGATGAAGACTCGGAGTCTTCACTGAATCAGAAGGTCTCACAAGATGACTCCGCTGATGATTCTGCACTGAGTCTTACAGCAGATGATGAGACCTGTTTGGACAATAGTAAGTTTATTGCAATAATTCATAACATTTGTTTAGGCTTATCAAACATTTTAAAATTATACAGTTGAAGTCAAAATTATTCGCCCTCCTGTGATTTTTTTCCATTTTCAAATATTTCCCAAATGATGTTTAACAGAGTAAAGAAGTTTTCACTTCCTTCATTTCCTATAATATTTTTTCTTATGGAGAAAGTCTTATTTGTTGTAAACTCTGTGTTTTATTTGGTTTATAATTTAATAATATTTTATGTCCAGTCAGCTAAATGTTCTTCTTTTTTAACAGATGACATCAGCTCCCGCTACAATCTGGGAAAGCAGCTCGGTGAAGGAGGTTTCGGCTCTGTTTTTGAGGGGATCCGCATACAGGATGGTCTGCAGGTATTCATTTCTGTAGACTCAAATTCTTTGATGAAGTTCACTATTTAAAGAACATCATCAGAAACATGCTTTCATTGTTTTGACATTTCTGATAATTCAAATTGATGAAACCTCTGTTCAGGATTTGAATGAAATGATCTGGATGCACATGTTAATTGTTCGCTTATTTCTTTAAACAGGTGGCTGTTAAATTTGCCCAGATGACACCACGTATGCGAGATCTCTGCTCTGTAAGTACACTACACTTTCTGTTTTTCTCTTCTCAGTCACTGTGTTCAACTCATAATGTCTTGTATTCAATATTAGACAACAGGCTGTGGTTAAAAATCCTTGTTTGAAAACCAACATTATTATTTTGTTTTCAGTCTCATGACCAGCCACCTCTAGAGATCACCTTGGCAAGTATGGCCAGCAGTGGCTCCAGGTGTGCCAATATAATTCAGCTACTTGACTGGCAGGTCTTCAAAGACCATTATGTCATGGTCATGGAGCGGCCTACGCCAAGTATGGACCTGGAGGCATTCCTGCAACTCAACGAAGGCGTCCTCACCGAGCAAACGGCACAAACTATCATGGGCCAAGCTGTTCATGCTGCCAATATTTGCTGTTACCGGGGAGTATTCCACAGAGACATTAAGCTGCAAAACCTGCTTGTGAACCCAAACACACTGGAGGTCAAACTGATTGACTTCGGCTGCGGAGATTACATGATGGAATCAGCATACTCCACTTTTTCTGGTAGGTGTTTTAAATAGGGTTGTCAAAAGTATCGACTTCGGGACTGACATTTAAAAAATGTCCATTTGAGCGCAGTTAAACACCACTGATTGGCCATTGGTGTTCACATGCTCAGCAAATATGACTGTGATAAGTGTCAGTATCGATACTTTTGACAACACTAGTTATGAATGTACATAAGCATTATTAATATATGGTTTAAAAGCTCAGTAATTAGCACACCTGAAACCCATCTGGTATATATATCAACATGATGCTGACACAGAGATTTAACTAAATGTCTCTCCTCCAGGTACAAAAGCGTACATGCCGCCAGAGTTTTACAAAAGAGGATGTTACCATGCCAAACCAGCAACTGTCTATTCTCTTGGGGTTCTTCTCTTCACAATGCTGCATGGAGATTTCCCAACAACTTATGACCTGTACTACCTGGAGCATGACTGGTCCAAATTTACCCTCTCTCAAGGTGAGATGTTCATCAAAGAACAAGTTGAAAATCAGTTTATTAATAATAATAATAATAATAATAATAATCTCACCTCTCCTTTTGTTTTTCACAGAATGCTGTGATCTGATGTGGGCTTGTCTGCAGCAGATTCCAGAGCACAGAATTCTTCTAGGACAGATGCCTTACCACGACTGGTTCATGCTGGAGTAGCCAGTTGACACCTTTGCTGTTAATATATAGTGTCTTGTTATTGTATTATTCACTTCTTTATTGTTACAGTTGTTTTTGTGTTTGTCTCTAATAAAAATATATATTTTTGAACTCACTTGTGATGTGGCTTATATTGTGATCTAGTCCCAGTGACAAAAATCTGGCATGAGGTTTGAACAGCATCCAGTCATTTATAACACACACTGCAGTTGCCACTGGCGTCATTAAGGCGCACTTTTAGAACTACACTTTTAAAGAATACAGTCCAGCGCTGCCCTTTACCTGACCCAAAACCTAAACATATCAGTCACTGCGACATTAGCAAACATCCATATAAAATTCCAATGTTTTACTGTGAAATCAGAGCTGTTTTTAGAAATGTTTTAAAAGAGAAACATCGTAACATGAGAATGTGACATTCAATACAAAACATCTGCATTTTCACAATAAGAGCACTCAGTTTTATTAAGTTCATTGAGTATTCATCGCCCTCATGACAATTGTGCTTCTCAAACAAAATATTCAATGGTATTTCTTTAAAGTCAATTCTGATAGTGTAGTTTGTGCAGACACACTGAGGTTTATCGTGTTCAGTAGTCTGAATCATCCACATTATTTTATACGCCTCCAAAAACATGTTTACTACACGAATGTCCAGCGTTTGCTAAACAAATAGACTGATCAACCCTTTACGTTATTAATTTCTTACAACATCTCCAACTATGCTAAAAGCAACAAGTTCTATAGGAAGATGTTGCAATAAAGTAATAATGTAAAGGGTTGAACAGTCTATTTAGTACTGTGTTTTGGGAAACGGGAGTGACAACTGTATGAAATCCAAAAGTTTGCATTCTTAATCACCTGTTTCTAAATGGTCTGTCTCTAAAAGTGAGGGGGACATATCCCCCTGCCCCTCCAGTTGCTACGCCCGTGCTTACAACATCTAAAACTATGCTATCAACTATGCTAAAAGCAACAGGTCCTATAGTAAGGAGGAGAAGAAGAAGAAGAGCATAACATTTTATTTTGATGGTCCATTTGAGTATTCTCATATGATTATAAGTAGACTGTTAGGTTTGGGTTAGGGTTAGTGTAAGTTGACATGTATTAGCAAAGTTTCTTGTACTCAGTTAAATGTCTGTTGAAGGAGAATATCAAGCTGATTATATTATCAACAGATATTAAGCAGACAGTCTACTAATACTCAAATGGACCATCAATATAAAGTGTTACCCCATTCTTTAATAATGCCCTAGAAGAAAGAAAATCAGCTTCATTTTCATCTCTAATAGTCCACATTTTCTGTAAGGCTGGTGGTGAACTTCATTCAACCTTCTACCAAACTGAGGTACAAGTAAATCTAATCTTTCTAAACATCGGAGCATTTAAAACAGCAGCTAGTAAGTTGGGCTCAACCATCACTGCTTCATGTTTTGGTTTTCACAGACAGATTAATCTCTATTATGATTTGGAGTTGTAAAATGGATGAAGTGTGGTCATATTTGTGATTTGATTTACCTGGATTGATCATCTGGTTCCTCTGAAACACTGGCTGTAGATGGAGAAGAGCTCCGGACTGCAGGTTTGATGGTGGATTTTGGTAAAAGAGGAGCTGATTTTACTCCGCTGACGTCTCTGTAGGCTGTTAGAGAAAAACAAACATTTCACATTTCTATTTGTTATGTTTAGTCACAAACTCATTATTAAACACAATATCCACAGATTTTTTCATTCACTCGTTTTCTTTTCGGCTTAGTACCTTCGTTAATCAGGAATTGCCACAGCAGAATAAACCGCCAACTTATCCAGCATATGTTTTACACAGCGGACGCTCTTCTAGCTGCAACCCAGCACTGGTACACACCTATACACTCTTGCATTCACACACATTCACTACTAATTTAGCCTACCCTATTCACCTATACCGCATGTCTTTGGATTGTGGGGGAAACCGGAACACCTGGAGGAAACCCACGTGAACACGGGGAGAACATGAAAACTCCACACAGAAATGCCAACTGACACAGCCGGGGGCTTAAAACAGCAACCCTCTTGTTGTGAGGTGAAAGTGCTACCTACTGAGCCACCGTGTCGCCATTCCACTGATTACAGCACAGCAAAATACTTCAAAACCACCAAAGATGATTATGAATGGATTAAAGCAATGTTAAAGTAATTCTCCCTGAAGAACAAAACATTTAAATCCTTCAGTTGGATTCAAGCTGGAAAAACTATTACTGAGCATTAAAAAATCATCTAAAGACTGAGAAAATAGACCCCATATTCTATTGCTGATAAAATTATCACTGTATGTGTCGTATTATTATGAACTAAATGTATGAATAATGAATTAAATGTAGCTGAAATAGAATACAGCCCTGGTTTTACATTACAAAACATAAACACACACAATCCAAGAAGTTGCTTCAATGTAATGGCAGGATTTAAATTATGATTATCCAAAAAAACAACTTAAAAAAAACACTCAAACTCACCGTGCGTCAGTGGAATAATAATAAAGAAAACCAGCTCAATCCTCCTGTGATATTGATGTGTGTAGAGGACTCTATTGGGATAAATGGAGCTCAGACCACACGAGCTGCAGCATTTTAGATCATCTGAAGAAGTTTCACAGCAGAGGATGGAAGTTCAGCCTGGAGAACATTGCAGTAGCCTAATATACAAATCACAAGTGCTTGGACAAGAAGTTACGCAGCCTGCTCTGTTACAAAGTGTCTGATCCTTCTAATTTTGTGTAAAGAAAACAAAGCTTGCACAATCATGCAGGTTATGTGACCACTGAAGGACAGCTGAGCATCAAGACTTCTGACTGAATTAAAGGTATAATTGTAGACGACCCTAGCTGAATAGTGAAGTTCAGATGTCTTTGTCTTAGTAGCTTTAAAATTAAATATCATTTATAAAAATATAAAGTTTGATGGATTCTTGGTAGTGAATGTACAAAACAAACAAAAGATAAAAAAACCTGATCTGAACTTTCAGACGCATCTTAAAATACATGCATAAGACACTGAATAGGAACAAAAATCAATATGTACACAAGTATAAATATTATTAAATCATATGCAGCAGACAACAGCTTTGTAAAACCAGAATTGTACAATATTATAGCACAACTAATGCAAGAAAATCAGTGTTAGAATCAGATAAAGAGGCTTTGATTCATTTGGTTTGCATTTAAAGTTCCTGTCTGTAGCCATGTTTAAAGAAAGACATATCTGTAAAACTGAAGAAGCTAAAGATGAAACAGCAAATGATCAAAACCTTCTTTATCAGCATTTTAGCTACAGCTAGGAACTGTGTCATAGCAATATGACATCAATCCTCCAGCCTACCGTTATATACAGACTGTCATTAAAGCAGCATCGACAGAGACATGTCCATTATTCTTCTTAAATACAGGATTCTCTATACTTATTTCTTTTTCCTTTACAAGGCTAAACACTGTAGGCAACGAAAGATACATTTCTTTAAATATTTAAAAAGGAATAAATCATATTTTGAGAGGATCTAACTGTACATTCACCTTATAAATGACTGATGATTGTAGAAGAAGACTGTGTTACTTATGATCAGCGCAGTTTGTGAGGCTTATTTAGAGCTGAGATGAGCTTCAGATATTCTGTCTGTGTGTCTGTCTGTGTGTGTGTGTGTGTTGATGTTGTTAATAAATAATGTGTGTGTCGTGTTTCTACTTCTCAGTAAAAGTGATGACATCATACTGGATGCTCTACTCTTGCATTTGTTCAGGTGTGGCTTCAGTGTAAACCGTCATCGCTGCATCTGTAACACACCCACACCCACACCCACACACACGCACACGCACACACCCCCACACCCACACACACACAGCTAAATTTAACCATAATAAGAGTGAAATATTTTAGCGATTTGTAGCATTTGTGTTTAATCATTTGTTTGATGTTATTTTACGTTTGATTAATTTCTGTACTTTACTGTAAAAAATGCTGGATTTCTCATAATTCCTTCATGTTGTCCCAACAAAAAACAAGTTAACGTAATAGTTTTTTTTTAATTGGTGAATTGAACATAAAACAATTAAGTTGTCCCCAAAAATAGTGTTGTTTCAACTCATTTTAAAGGGGTGGTCCACTACAATATCATATTTAAACTTAAGTTGATGTGTAATGTAGCTGTGTGAACATAAACAGCATCTCTGAATGTAAAAAGTTCTAAGTTCAATGCAAAGGGAGACCTTGGTTTTTATAGAGTTAGCTTAGCAAAGCCTACAATGAACGAATTTTGGGGACTACAAGAAATACTTACGGCCCTTGTGAGATCACAAAGGTTCTTTTACTGCGCGCACACACATTGCGCAGCTAAGGGCCGTGGCCAAAGGCGCTGGAACGTTACAGCAGAGAGAGCTAAAAATGCATCCAAACGCTGCTGTTTCCACAGAGCTTCTCTGTTTCTGTATTTAGGCTTCCAAAGGACACGACACAAAGACAGAAGTGCTTAGTGTTCAATATTAATTATGTTCCAGAGAATTATAAAATACATAGCAAGCATGATTTGACAAAACAGCTCCAGAATCTCTCCCAGTTCAGTGTTGGATTCAGTTAAAATCTTCCCAAAGCAGAAGCTGTGAACTACAACCTGCAAGTGTTTTTATTTTTGAAAATTGATCATGACATGTACAGTGTCTAGCGTTAACGGTAAGCTGTAGCAACGAAGTAAACTGCAGGAAATGCTGTTTTGCACCGCAAGCGATTTAGCTACAAATTCATATTTATCAGTCAAACTGCTGTAAACACACACACACACACACACACACACACACACACACACACACACACACACACACACACACACACACACAAACACACACACACACACACACTGCACCAGCTCGTTTGTGTCTGTCTATGTGTGTGCGCGACTTTGCATTAATTCTCTTTAGGGCAGCTTTCCATGCGTATTATATTAATGAAGTCGCAAAAGAAAAATAAATCAAGGCTCACACAGGTAGCATCCCACA